GTCCCCAAGACATCTGTTGCAGGCCTAGACAGGTGGATCTCTGACATGCACAATATTCTACCCACACCCACACCGTTTGCGGGGACTCACAGACACCAGGTAACTGCACAAATGGCCTCAGGGAGTTTATCACTTTTCCCATTGCTGTGATAAAATACTTCACAGAAGCAAACTCAAGAGAGAAGAGCTTGGGCTGGAGAGATGGCTCAGAAGTTAACAGCACTGGCTGCTCTTTCAGAGGACCTGGGTTTGATTCCCAGAACCCACATGGCAGCTCACAACCATCTGTAACTAGTTCCACGGGATCTAGTGCCCTCTTCTGGCCTCCATAGGTACTGCACACACATGGTGCACAGGCACACAGGCAAAATGTTCACACACATAAAAGGTAATTAAAAGGACAGGGGGCACAGGGAGAAGCTTTATTTTGGTTCTTCATTTCATAGCATTGTAAGGAAGGTGTGGTGGACCTTCCCTATAGGTCCACTAGTGTATGGCAGGATGCTGGCCTCACATGCTGGCCAGGCCAGGAAGCCGTGGAACAGAGCGGGAAGCAGGGCTGGGTTTATTAAAGGCCCATCCGTAAGCCAAAGAATACCCCTTACTTCCACCTAAGGAGTCTGCAAAGATCTTGCCTACCCCAGCATAGGGCAGTGCCAAAGGAAACTGATACCACCAAGGCCACAGGACCCAGCATCCACCGTGGTTTCTCTGTGTCCATCCTATAGACCCTTAAGCAGAAAGGGAAGCTTGTAAAGTCCTTCTCTGCCCTTTTCTGTGCCCAGGAAAAATTTCCCAAGGATTAGGTTGATTCTCAGAAAAGCTTAGGAACCGAGGAGTATAAATTCCAGGCTTGGGTTTCTCCACTCTGCAGTCTCTGTAATTATTTTTTCACTCAGTTAACTTTAATTAACCTGCCGCAGGCCTCTACGCGCCTGGCGCTGGGCTCCCTGGACTGTGCAGAGCAGGTGGTTCCCACGACCTCCCAGCTTTTATGTTTGGGAAGCAGCAGTGAGCGTGGCTCAGTTTATCAGTAGAGACTGCTCTGGGGTTTCTGAGCAGGCCACGACCTCTGTGCAACAGCCTTGCCCTAAAAAAAAGACTACTGCTGCCTGTCACCAGTGAGGTGTGGCGTGGGGAACCCTACCCTGCTCACAGTGCGCCCAGACTGAGAATCACAGATTCCCAAGCCTCAGACCTGGGTAGAGCCAGGGCTCCCTGTAGTAGAACTGTCCTGCGTGGGTAATCATTGTTTTACAAAGCCACAGGTGCATCATTTAGGTTTCATGGCCTCCTAAACGATGAAGCCAAAAGACGCCTAGAGCACGGCCTGGTGTTCTTGCTCCAAGGACTGCCTGCAGAGTCAGGCCCATCACTGTCAGTCTCTGGATGCCGGCAGAGCGTGAGTGACCGGGAGGGGTGAGGCTGTTCTCTCTCACACTTAGATGCTGCTTATATCCCTGTCCTCATCTTTGCATCCCCAGGCACTGACCCCCCCCACCCCCCGCCACGTGAGCAGTTGTCACAGTCCCTGGGAAACCCAAACAGTCCTAGAAAGGAGTTGGATGGGTGGAAATGACATTCCATGGCGGCACAGCAGAGAACAGACTCTCCGCGGGGACGGAGGCAGTTTGACGCCCTTCTGGGTAAGCTGACACACCCGCCCCACCTGTAGACTGGAGCAGGTGCCCGAAGGATGCACACACGCCTTCACCCGTGCTGCTAAGTATCTACACACACCATCAATGGCTCACTGTCTATGCTGGCATGCTTCCTACAGTCCTGTCAGCCTCCTGAGACAGACACCTGAGGCCAGTCTGACCAAAGGTTGGTGGTCTCTGACATGAAGATAATTCTTACAGAGGACGACCCCCCGCCCCCCACAGGCTCATGTCTTAGGAATTGGTGCCCTGTTGGCGGGCCCTTAGGAACCCCTTGTCCTTGACTGCCACCTCCTCTTCTCTTCCCCCCTTCCTTTCTCTCCCCTTCCTGTTCGTCCCAAGATCAAGACCGTCCTCCACCACATACGCTCATCGCCATGATGCTCTGTCCAAGCACACAGGTCAAAGCCACTGCGGACTGAACTCTCGGGAACCAGGAGCCAAGAGGAACTTTTCCACCTGATGTCGTTTGTCAGGTGTTCTGTGTCGTGACAACCACCTGACTGATACAGAGGAATAGAGAAAGAAGAAAGCACACGCCACGCCCAGCACTCAGAGATGCCTGGGAAGATGGGGTCACCCCCAAGGCTATTTGATAGACAAAGAAAGGGGCTCAGAGTCCCCCGAATCGCAGCCTTGCTTGTTTCCAGCCTGGCCCTGTAGATGTGACTACCCATCCGTCACACGGCCACCATTAGAGCCTCTGCACACTTCTGTCAACAACTAAAGGGGGTCTGCGGTTGTACCCCAAATCTGTTCACATCAAATCCACTCATGGAGACAGGAGCGGCTGCCGGTGGGCTTGGGACCCAGGAGAGGAGGCAGGAGACTCAGCTGTACTACATTTGCTGTTTCAAAGACCCTTGAGAGCACACAAGCACCTGCCCACGTCACATGGCTTCCCACCCAGCCCCTAAGCCCTGTCCTCAGCCTTTCCTCCTGGGACACTGTTCCTTATGTTCGCTCTCACTAGGGACTGTCTGGTCAGTTAATGCCTGGCTCCATGCAAACGAGAATCAAAAGGCCAGCTGCCTAGCCTCCCGAGGAAGTGGCTTGCAATCTGCCTAGATCTGTAAGGTCCTAGGAGGGCACCGACATCTTGGAATCTGCAAGGACCCTCTTCCCACAGAGGCCCAAGGATGCACACTCCAGAGGACATGTGTCTCTGAGCCCTCCCCCACATCCCCCCAGGCTTCTTTAGTCACACGGTATTTTCAAGAAAACAGGGAGATGCTAGTCCAAAGGTCATTTGTCTCTCTCTTCTTTGAGTCCAGCTGTTGCCTTGGGCCTCAATATAACAACATGTCACAGGCCATGGCCTGGCTGCCCCGGGCCGTGAAAATACATTTGCAAGACCTCAGCTCCCACCTGGGACTGCCCTGTCCTCGCCACATACATCACGCTCTGCTCTGGTGACATGTGCAAGTATTCCTCATCTCCCTGCATCCCTTTCCCAAACCAGACAATAAGAACATTCTAATTATTGGCCATGAAGAAGAGGTTACAGGGGGTTGGTTAAGGCATGAAAAATACGCAGCCTGGTTGAGTATTCTGTCCTGCTCAAAATCACAAAGCCTTCTAGTGGTTTCTTTCCCCAAGGCCTGAATGGCGTCACCAATTTTTTACTTCAAGAAAGAAAAGATCCAATTAATGTTACACCTCCCGGGACACAGGGCAAGGCTGCAGATTCCTCCCATCTCCTTATTTATTTGATTTAAACATTTGTCTCTTTGGGGAAATGGACTTCAGGCTATAAGCAAGGACTTAAGAATTCAGCCAAAACACACGCACCTCCAGTGGCGACTCCAAGGACACGCCTGGCTGTGGCTGCTCCAGGGCCTGGATGCTGCTCTCAGTCACTCAGAGGACCCCTCTGGCTTGTGGGGACCCACCCCCACACCTCACGCCAGACAGCCTGGGTACACCCACGTGGTCAGTGGGCCCCAGGCCCAGGAAAGTTCTCTGTCCGGGTGTTTCCTCCTCACACCAGCAGGAGTGAACAATGCCGTCTCTCCAGCTGAGGGCTACGGGAGATGCTGTTCGTCGGGAGACAGGCTGCTATGGCAACTTGAGGAGAATGAAGCCAGGCACTGCCGTCACCTTGAATCCGGCACCGTACCTTCTGCTGCAGTGGCAGAGGGGATCTGGCGCCCGGCTCTTCCCACTGCTGCAGCTGGGCACAGGTAGCTGACCCACGGGTCCCCTCCTTGGCCTCCCGGCCTTGGGTACTCATCTGCTCCTCCTCGATCGGAGGGAGCACACGGCCCAGTCCCCTGAGAGCACCACCTCCATTTATATTTGTCAGACTAGTTCTTCCTTGTGTGCGTGGCTCCGGCTTACTTCTGAGATGGGGCTCTTCCTTGATTTCAGCTCATTAAAATCCTGCAGCTAATTAAAACCCGCTCTAACAGCGGCGGCGGCAGCGGCTGCAAACTCTGGGACGCGTCCCCTCCAGTTTTATGCGTAGGCATAAAGTTGCAGTGCTCAGTGAAGAGGACTCACGGCCGGAAGGGCTCAGGCTCTGAAGCAGGGCTGCAGGCTCCCAATTACTCCAGCCTTCCTCCACCAGCCGGGCCTCAGGGGTGCTGGATACAGTCCTGAAATCCCCACGGCGGAGCTTCGCCAGACCCAGCACTGCTCACCTGCACCCCAATCCGATAGGTGGGTAAGTATCGATTTGCCCACCGTCCTAGGTCTGTTACAAGGTCAGGTTCCCTCCAATCGCCCCCCACCCCGAAGTTTCTGCAGGTCGGAAAAAGGGCCCCTATTGTGGAGGGTACAGTGTAAATCAGGTTTATATATCCCCAACTTTGTCCCCAAAGCCCCTATGAACACCACAGTCCAGCCTCACCCACCCCAGCACAAACACGGAAAGTCTTCCTGAAGGCTAAAGGATTCCAGAAAATTCATGACTGCCATGACAGGTCCCAAGGACCTGGTCAAAGAACCAGCAGCCAAGCCACAAGACACACCACAGTTAGGGTCTTTGCCTAGGACTTCTCACCTGCTCAGGGAAGTTTACACTCGTAGGGCAGAGGATAGGAATTCTAAAGATAGAGAAACTGAGTCCCTCCTTACCCCAACCCTGGCTGATCCCAGTACCCCCACTCCCTGAAGCTCTGAGCTCCTGTTCTAGCCCTTCCCCCGCTGGGCTCACATGGAGCCACGGGAGCTGGGTGGGAGGCCCCTCTCCATCTCGGCATTCCCGGCACTGAGCACCGAGCCTGGCACCAGAGCGGTGATCGATAGCTGTGGTGCAGGTGGAATGCGCACGAGTTAATAAACGGAAGTGTTGGGGGCCATCCGGAGAGAGGCACACCATGAACTCGGAATTTTAAAAAGGTCATTTCAGGGAGCTATGGGTTTGTTTTGATTGGGTCTGGGCTGGAAGCAAGTCCAGTGATGTCAGTACAACCACTGGCGAACCCTGTGGAGTTGGTTACCTCAGAAACACCCAAGGCTCACTGCGCATCAGGGTATCACCTGGAATCCTTCCATCCGTCCAAGAGTACACAACATGGGGCTTGAAGACCTACGTTTTCAAAGGTAAATGTAGAGCCTCTCTCTGGTTGATATGCAAATGTATATGAAAACATTTACATAATTAGATGTCATAAAATTGATGGCCTCCAAGCCTTTTGTGTTAGCTACATTTCTCATTGTTATGACAGGAGCAATGTGGAGAAGGAGTCTCACAGCTGGAAGGTGAACGTGGGAGAGACGTCGTGGAGGAGCAGGAAGCGGCTGGCTGCAGTGTGTCTGCAGTCGGGAAGCAGACAGCGCTGGGCAGCGGAGCTCAGCTGGCTCTCTCTTTTGGGTCAGCCTGGAACCTTAGCTGGAGGGGTGGTGCTGCCCACATTCAGGTCAGATCTGTTCCCCTGTCAGTCAAGCCTCTCTAGACACCTTCATCAGCATTCCCAGGGGGTGTTTTCTTTTCTTTTCTTTTCCTTCTTTCTTTCTTTCTTTCTTTCTTTCTTTCTTTCTTTCTTTCTTTCTTTCTTTCTTTCTTTCTTTCTTTCTTTCTTTTAAAGATTTATTTATTTATTATGTACACAGAAGAGGGCGCCAGATCTCATTACAGATGGTTGGGAGCCACCATGTGGGTGCTGGGAATTGAACTCAGGACCTCTGGAAGAGCAGCCAGTGCTCTTAACCTCAGAGCCATCTCTCCAGCCCCCGAGGTGTGTTTTCATAATGACCTTAAATCCAGCAAACGGAAGATGAAGCCAAACCATCACACCTTCCAACTGCTGTGTAATGTTAGAAAACCCCAGAACCAACTCACAGTTCATGGTGTTAGTCAAGTGTCTGTGAAGGGGCTGGTGAGAAGCCTCAGCAGGTAAAAACGCTAATATGAGTTTGAGCCCTAGGTCCCGTGTAGTGGAAGAAAAGGACTAACTCCTAAAACTTGTCCTCTGACCTCACATGCTTACACCACACACACACACACACACACACACACACACACACACACACACACACACACACATTAAACACATAAATTTTTTTGAAATCAACACAAGAGTATCTCTGAAGATGTACGCAAAGTCAACCAGAACAGTCAGGAAATACTGCACAATTGGATTTTATGAGGTGCACAGAATTGTCAAGTTCAGAGACAGTAGGCGAGCTAGAGATTGCTGGGTCTGGGAGGGGATGTGAGTCATGTTTCAGCGGGTACAGAGTTCCAGTCCGGGAAGATGAAAAGGCTGGAAGGTAGACTATGGTGACAGCTGCATGCCGATGTGAATTTAGTTAATGCCGCTGGACTACACACTTAAAAATGGTGACACTGGGGCGGGAAAGATGACAGTTGCACAGTAAGAGCACACACTGCTCGTGCAAAAGCCCCAGGTCCCAGCACTGGCGCAGGGTAACTACCGTTCCAGGGGATCTCATACCTGGACTCCCTGGGCAGCAGGCACACATGTGATGCACACACAGACACAAAGACTATGTGGTTTGGATAAGAACTGCCCCCATAGAGGCTTATATGTTCGAATGCTTGGTCCTCAGTTGGTGGAACTGTTTGGGAAGGGATTAGGAGGTGTGACCTTGTTGGAGGAGGTGTGCCACTGGGGGTAGGCTTTGAGACCTCGGAAGCTTCAGGACATCTCCAGGGTACTCTGTTTCCTGCTGACAGTTGGACAAGTGAGCTCCCAGATGTTCCTGCTGCCACACCTTCACCCTGCCATCATGGACTCTGACCCTCCAGAGCTGTAAGCCAAATTAACCCTTTCTTTTATAAGTTGCCTTGGTCATGGTGTTTTTTCACAGCAATAGAAAAGCAAGGTAAAACACATACACAAAATAAATCTTCTGAAAACAGTTAACGTCATGCATTTTATGTGACGTGTATTTTATATATTTATGTTTTCATTGGGCTCAGATAGGGAGTTCATGTTCTAGGCCTGGCTTCCCCTCCAACCAGCTGTGAAACCCTCTGGATTCGATTTTCCTTATCTCACAATCTGTCCTCAGACAAAATATCAGCTGTGGATGAGTTCCCAAGTTCCTAGCAGCTCTGGGGGTGAGACAAATGCCTTGGAAAACAGACATCTTGTGACTTTCACGCCCACATAGCCACTTTCAGGCAGACAAGTGGCCATCTGGAGAGAGTGTCCATCACCCATGTCTGAGGCCTGTCCTTCATCACGGATCTCGGTCACTTCCATTCACAAGCCTCAGGAAGGCTTCTAGGGCTATGCCCTAAAGTCCTACATACCAAAGGCACTGTTGCAGAGGCAGCTGGGTCCCCATGGACCGAGCAAGTCCTGCTGAGCTATTTACCTTCATGACAACTGTCTTTGAGAGAGGTGTCCATGACAACCCAGCTGTAGTGTCAAGCTGCACACTGCACTCTTGGATTCTGCAAAGCCACGCTTTCCTACCGGAGGGCCCTCTGGCTGAAATGAGGTCATCTGGGGCTGCTCTGTACCAGGGCACCATTGTTTTATGTGTGCCCTACATGGAGCCCAGCCAGTACAGTGTCCCATTAACTAAAAGGAATCTCTGGGGCCTGGACAGTGAGACCCTGAGACAACGAGAGCTTAGTCTGGTCTAGAACATGCTATGGCATCCAGGTTGGTTTGGGAGTTGAGATCCTTCTCTATGCGCCTCCCAAGTGCTATGGTTGCATATGTACATGACCACACAGACCCTGATGGAAATCACTTTAAAGCAGACATTTCAACCCGGCTAATGATTTGGATCATACTGTAATGACAGCCAGGTTTTTCATTTAAAAATCTTTAATTTTTAAAGAACTTTAAAGGGCAACATGGGACTGCACTCGGTGATGAAGCGTCCCCTATTTTACAGTCTCATTATTGATGTCCGGGTTGTGACACTGAACTATCATACAGGACAATTGTGCATAACATCAGCTATTAGGAGAAACAGACAAAGAGCACTCAGGACTTCTGCAAGTTGTTCTGTGCAAGTGTGCAAATATATAATATTCCAAAAAAATTTATTTTAATTAAGAAGCCATGAACTTAAAATTAAAAGTCCTTGGGGCTGGAGAGATGGCTCCGTGGTTAAGAGCACAGGCTTCTCTTGCAGAGGACCTGGGTTTGATTCTTAGCACCTACATGGTGGCTCACAGCCATCTGTAACTCCAGTTCTAGAGGATTCAACGACCTCTTCTGGCCTCTGTAAGCACTGAATGTACATGGTTCACCTACACACATACAGGCAAACACTCTCATACATAAAATAAAAATAAATACACCCTAAAAATGTCTGGCCTTTCAGCTCATGCCTAGTGGAAATGAATTCCAACACTGTACCCATAAATAACAGAAAGTCCTTATCATGGGTCAGTGCCAGCCCTCATTGTCTTAAAGTTAGGAGACTACTCCTTTAATAGGAAAATTTGATGTGTTAGCAACTACCGGCTGATCTTTGTGCGTTTTTCAATTGCAAATTGCACTTTAAAAATTCAAACAATTATTAATATTGATTTGGACTAAAACAATATTGAATTTCAATATATCTCCAACTCCTTTATGAATTACCCTGTGGACACACGGCGATTATGATAGAAGGGCATCTGCATGCTCAATTTCTTCTCAGCAAGGATCCTTGAGGAGGGCTGATGCGATTCGCAGATAATGAACTTCGCAGGTCTAAGACCAGCTCCAGCGTCCTTGGCCACAGTCACAGATTTCCCCCACAGCACAGGCCTCTGAGTCCAGAGCTACTTGTCCCATGGGGCATTTCACAGCCCGTCTTACAAAGCGCAGGTTAGGAACACGCGCTCAAATCCAAGAATAGAATTTCATGGTTCTCAGAGGGAGGAATGAAAACGGAACAGATATTTATCTTGCTTTGGTAATGTTTCAGTGACTATGCAGGACACTATACAAACAGCCCACTTAGCTTGGTTCACGGTAACTTCTTGAAGTGAAAATCATTATCCTTATTTGTCACAGGTCTGGTTCTCTGTGAGAAGGAGCTGAGACACACTTCAGAGGTGTAAGTGTTTATTAAGGGCCAACACCTGTGAAGGGGAGCGGCTGGAAACTGAAGGGGCAAGACACCTCTACAGCACGCAGTCTGCAGGAGCACCCTGCGGCAGGCAGCGATGGCTGACTTTTGACCTCCGGCATTCTCCGTGGCTGGGTGTGGGTCGCCCAGGGAAGAATGTGTCCTCAGGTGAGGCAGCCTGCTGAGGCCGAGGCAGATCCCGAAGGAACTGGCCCCTGAGTCCGGCTGTTGACTGCATATCCAGGGGGAGGTCAGCAAGCCCTCCCTGGGAAGCTAGGAGCACATCTCTCAGTCTGCCCCTCTGCTCCCAGTGGGCAAAACAAAGGCCCAGAGAGACCAAACATTTCAAGGTTATGTCATAAATTACAGCCATCCCAGATCTGTCTGACTCAAAACCTGTCTCTCTCCCAGCTATCCCCAGCTTTTCTCCAACAAAGCTTACATCAGACTGTCCTGACCTTCAGTTGCGGAGACAGGAAGGTCTGGAAGCCTCCAGAGGAATATGCAGAAAGTTTGGCTGTGTAAGCAAATACACTTCCCTCCTCTCCCCCCACTAACATCTGTGTGACGTGTACGCATGCGCGTGCACACACACACTCACTTATTGCATTGCTAATAGAAGGGGAAGACATGGGTTATTCGGGTGAAGAGCTCCCCTGACTTTTAGCTTGGAGACCATCTTTTCCCAGTAGATCCACTGGATCTTGCCCAGAGCAGCCGAGAATGCACAGTGTTGCACGACCAGCCTCCTTTTACGTTTAGAAAGCACTAAGCTATTCACATTTCCCAGCTGCTCTGACATCCACAGCAGGGAAAATTATAGGGAAGGAAAAAAATTGCATATTTACTTCTCCAAATTGAAAGTTGGGGTATAATATGGGCAGAAAAGTGTGTGAGTAAAACTGGAGTGCCCCGGCCCCTGGCAGGGCGCAGCTGCCTCCAAGCTGCCAACTGCAATCCAGAGACTCTGGAGGAGGAGAGACTGGCTGAGGAGCTTGGCTTCTTTCCAGGGAATCCCTCTCCCTGTGGCTGGCACAAGGAAGCCCCAGAGGACTTGCCTTTGGGCACTCGGCTGCCAGCAATGCCTGGGACAGAGTGGGTGCTCGGGCGCTGTGTGGCAAGCAGAGTGTCCTACTGTGAGGAGGAAAGGGGAAGGCATTTGCATGCACACCAGAGCAGTGGGGCCTTTCAACTCAAGTCATGCGTCTGAGACAGGCAGATGCCGCAGGCAGATGCAGGGCGAATACCCCTTTCTTATTTCTTTTTTAAAGTTTTGGTTTTTAGTAGTTTTTAGAGTGTGTGTGTGTCTTTCTGTCTCTTCTGTCTGTCTGTCTGTCTGCATGTGTGTGTGCATATGAGGTACAGGTGCCTGAGAAAACCAGAAAGGTCAGATCCCCTGGAACTGGAGTTACAAGTAGTTTCGAGCCACCTGATATGGGTGTTGGGGACTGAACTCAGGTCCTCTGCAAGAGAAGCTCCGTGCTCTTAACCCTGAGCCATCTCTCCAGGTCAGCCATTCCTCTCTTGATTCGTGTATTTGTTACTTTTCTCGTCACTGACCAAGTACTGGCAGGAACAATGGAAGCTATGACATTTATTTGGCTCCTGAGTGGGTGGATTTCAGACCACGAGAGTGGGAAGGTACACAGAAGCAAAGCAGCTCCCATCACGGCAGGAGGCAGAGAGGGAATGGCGGTCCTCTGATGGCTTTCTCTCTTTACCCCTTTCTTCCAGGACTCTCACCCCAGGGGATGGCACTGCCTACATTCAGGAAGGCCTTGCTGTGAGTTATCCTCTCTGGGATCATCCTCACAGACAATCACCAGTGAGCCTCCCCTGTCTCCCAAGTCGTTCTAAATCCAGTCAGGTTGAAGGGGGACTGAACAGCATACTGCCCATCATGGAGCTAACCACTGAACAGGCTGGTCTCTTACAGTCTAAGGTCTCTAGGGCTGACAGCAGGGCAGAACAATCAAGTGTCTTGGTTCCCTCCTTCTGTCTGGCCAGTAGGTCTGTCTAGGCCAGCATGATGGAGTCCAGGCTTCAGTGACCTAGGAGTACTAATGAACAGCAGGGGCCCAACCCCTCATAAGGTTCTGCCCCACATCTCCATCTTACTAACATGTCTGTTCCAAGTCTCCTCCGCCTCATTGATCTCTTGATGGCCCCTTCTTCCCCTCTAAAGGATTTTAGAAAGCCAGAATTACATCCCCGCCCCCAGTCTCTTCCTCCCTTCTACCACACTGAGCTGCAGACCCAGCCTTCCAAGCATCTTCTCCTGTCTGTTGGTGCTAAGCTGGTTCAGCACCTGGGACCTGGACAGCTCCCCACCTCCAAACAGAACTGTACCATGTGTTCAGTCACTAAGTCCCAGTTCAAAAAGCATCCCAGGGCCAGAGCCGCCCAACTCTGTTGTGAAATACTAGTTTAAGGTGTGTTACATCCGTTTGTGCTGTGGAACATTTGTTTAATGATGCAGAGATGTGTTGCATTCTTTTGTTGCATTTGTTTAACTCTGTGAAGCCGTGCTACTCTATCTGCCTAAAATGCCTGATTGGTCTAATAAAGAGCTGAACGGCCAATAGCAAGGCAGGAGAGTGATAGGTGGGGCTGCCAGGCAGAGAGAATAGATAGGAAGAGAAATCTAAGGATGAACTAGAAGAGTGAGGAGAAAAGGAGAGGAGGATGCCAGGGGCCAGCCATCCAGCCACACACAGACACAGACTAAGAAGGGAAGAAGACATACAGAATAAAGAAAGGTAAAAAGCCCAGAAGCAAAATGTGGAAGAGAAATGGGGTACCTTAAGTTAGAAAAGCTGGCTAGAAACAAGCCAAGTTAGGGCCAGGCATTCATAAGTAAGAATAAGTCTCCGTGTACTTATTTGGGAGCTGGGTGGCGGGCTCCCAAAGAATAAAACAACAACAACAACAAAACTACACAACTCCCCACATCCGTACATCTCAGTGTGACCCATGAACTCGGAAGAGCCAGTCCCCGGTAACATCCAAGCCCCGCCTTCATCCCTCCTCATTCCCAGAAGGTGCCTATGGAAGCCTGCTGTTCTGTACTGTGTCCTAAGCCCCCAGGGCATTCCTCCAACACAGGTAACCAGGAGAGAGCACTGTGCTCCAAGCATCGGGTGTTCAGCACAGTGTTTCTCACTGGGTGGCATCATCATATCGTATTTCCCGTGCGGTAAGTAGGTCCCTCGTGGATCCATCCCACAAGACGACTTATGGAGATTCCTGCTGTGATCGGCGATGTCCTGGGGTGAAGGACCTAGTCTTCTCTCCACAGTACATGCTATCCCGCAGATGGTCCCCCTCTATTTAAAAAAATTTACCTGTTGAGTGTTTTGCCTGCATATATGTATGTAAACCATATGAATGCCTGCTGCCTATGGAGGTCAGAAGCAGAGGTTAGGTCCCCTAGAACTGGAGTTAGAATGGTTGTGAGCCACCATATGGGCAACAGAATCGAACCTGGGTCCTCTGCAAGAACAGCACATGCTCTTAACTGTTGAGCCATGTCTCCAGCCCACTCTTTGCAAGGCTTAGCTGACTCTGTTTATGTCAAACAACATGCAGAGAGGTCTGTTTTCTCTCTTCCTGAGCCCACAACCTCCTTCTTACTATCCTGAATCCTACATAGTCTCACTACTCAGCCTCAATGATACAAGAAGAAAGGAAAACCTTGATGCTCCCGGAAACATGGTGGCACTCCCAGGCATTTACCAGATGGAGTGGGTCACAGCTACAGAAAGCCATTAGCCAACTGGTAGCGTCTCAAAGTGAAATGACATCCACAAGGTCCCACCCTTGGGCCTGTCAACGTCTCTGTCAGCTGACCATAGTGGAGATGATTAAGGCCCAACTTCTTTCAGGGTGCAGAAGAGGGAAAAGAAGATAGGTGGGACAGGCACCTTACGAAGGGACCCCAAGTGGCCAATCACTGGTCTCCAGTGAGTCCCTGTCAGAAGTCCCTGTCATTTCCAGTAATAACCACGTGACCCTTTGTACAATGAAAGTTGTTCTTCAAGTGACTCAACCAATGGCCTTCAGGAGCAGATCCCAACCCTCAGACCTGCCAGTCAAGCATTGCAGATTTTAAAGGACTACTCAATGGGCTAGGGCTGCACCTCAATGGTACAGCGCACTGTGAGAGTGAGAGCCCCAGGTTCAAGCACCAGGGAGCGAGTTGGGGGTAGAGGGGTGGGGTGTGACTCAATAAAAACTTAGGTGCAGGCAGGGTGTGGTGGCACATGCCTTTAATCCCAGCATTCAAAGGCAGAGGCAGGTGTAGCTCTGCAAGGATAAGGCCAACCTGGTCTACATAGGGAGGCCTTGTCTCAAGAAACAAAACAAAACAAAAACCCCTCATGTCTAAGCCCACTGAGCCCTGGGGTCCACTCTGCCATGAGAAGTGCAGCCTCAGGTGTGAGGAGGCACGCGATCTCTGGATAGAAGTAATGCCTAATGTTGCAGAGACTCGCACAAAATTAGCTGAGCAGAGAAAAGACTCGAGATGGCGTGCCATCTACCATGGCTAGGAGCTGGCTCCACCGCTCTGGAACCTCATGGTACCCATGCAGAAACGTGGGCCTCCAGCACGAGGCTTTTGCTTCTGTCTGGAGGATGGTCGGTGTGGTGAGAGACAAGAGTGTGGTGCAGCATATATGGTATGCCGCCCCCAACCCCATTCTGTCTCCTTCTCCGTCCCACCCTGCTGCCTAGTGATGTCTCTCTCTCTCTCTCTCTCTCTCTCTCTCTCTCTCTCTCTCTCTCTCTCTCTCTCTCACACACACACACACACACACACACACACACACACACTTTACGGTTTGAATGATGTTCTTCCCTCCTCCAATCTATATTTTGACATCCTACCCCGCAGCACTCAGAATGTGACTTTATCTGGGATTAGGATTATCGAAGACTAAACAGTTAGGATGAAGCCATGATAGAACAGCAAGAGCCCTGTCCCTAAAAGATGGTCTGCATAGTGAGTTCAAGGCTAACCAAGGCTACATAGGGAGAGCTTTCTGAAAAAAAAAAAAAAAAAAAAAAAAAGACTAGTGTCCTTAGAGAAGGGGACCTACAGACACAGACTCATGTCCTATACCATAGGAAACCCTTTATCCATGTGAGGTTGCGGGTGTGAACATGTCTATGACAGGTACATGTGAAGACATGGCTCCATGGCTCTGCTTGTGTGCTAATGAGCATGTGCTGAATGTACAACACATGTGTTTCCAAACTCCCCATTCTGTTGTTAGCTGCCATTAACTAGACAGTCCAGCTGCAGGCAGGCCATATCCGGCTCTGGACCACAATGGGGACTGATCCCCAAGTGGGTGCTTCCGTTCTTCAAAGGGGTGGGAGAGTCAGGCTCCTTCCTGCCAGGGGACAGCAAAGCTCTGTCTGTCTCTTCTCTGAGCCTGGAGGAAGGACAGTAGGAGGGCAGCCTGGGCTGGCGGGGTGGGGGAAGCTTAGGAGCAGCAGCCTAGCAGGGCCATCTGCCATCTGCGCCACTGCTCCGCTGCTGTCCTTTCCGTCCCCTCTCCGCCTCAGGGTGCATCACTCCGGTGACCCCTGGGAACTGGAAGCTAATTTTCCACCATCATTAGTGATGGGAAGACCTCAGGTTCTGCCTTTAATTAAAGTCAAACGTGGGGCTGAGGAGAAGCGCCGCACGCAGACGTCCCTGTCTCGCTTGTAAAAGCCATATGCAAATAATTAAGCAAGGCATGGAAGCCATAATTAAAAATTTCACAAACCCCTCATTAGCTGAGCAGGCTGCACAGAGAAGCGGGACTGAGTCCCTCCCCCACACCCATGGCAGTTCCTGCAGATGGTTAATTGGGGTGGGGGTGGGGGGAGTGGTGGGCCACACCTAGGTGACTTGCACCTGGCAATGTGCCTGCAGGGATCCTAGTACATTTCCTAGGACAAAGCAGGCAGCTTGAAGGCTCCACAACAGGGGCCCCAGCCCCAAGTTTCACTGCCTCTCCTGGGTGCAATCCTAAGTGTATACAGTGGGGACCCACTGACAGAAGGAGAAAGAAGGGTCCTGTTGAAGACTAAAGACCCCCTCCATCTGGACACGGCTGAAGCCCCCACCCCTTCCCATTTCCTGAAGTCCTTCAATCCCTTCTAGGCAAGCACGTGTCTCTGGGCCTTGTAGCCACAGTGCTGTGATGCACACCAAGACAAAGGCCGCGGGCAGGGGACCCACAGCCCAGAAAGCGCTCACCCAGTCCCCGGCTTTGATCAGCATCTCTGGTAACAGAGAGGGTGGGGTGGTAGGTGGGTGTGTCTGACATACACAGAGAGTGTATTCCATACACCCTTTGGTTTCTCTCCCCATCACACCGGGGGTCCCTGGCTCCAGCGCTCAGCATCCATAGACACCTGGGTCACCTCATGATGGGGATTGATCTTGCCAGGCGAGTCACCACAGGCATAATCTTTACTTGCTCATTGACATTTCCAAATGAATATTCACTTGTCCCAATTGTGGCCACTTGTTTTCTGTCTCCTCTGATCAATGGTATTCCTCGGAAGGCGCCGTCCTCACTGGAGACATTGATTGATGGCCAGGAAGCTGCCCGCAACACGGCGGGAGCAGATGCGGTCTCCCAGCTAAGAGACTGTTGGCCTGCTTGCCTCCCCGACAGGCTGTCCTGTCCTGGGCTGGACCAAAGCGCCCACATAGCCCGCAGTCGAGATTCACTCCTCTCACTAGAGGTGAGTGCTTCGAGTCCAGAAAGCAGACCTTTGTGGTTTGTTTCTGAGACAGAGTCTTCATATGTAACCCAATCTGACTTCGAACTCACTATGTGGCGCAGGTTGAACTTGAAATCAGGACCCACCTTCCTCAGTTTCTCCAATGCTGAGATCACAGGTCTGCACCGTCACACTCAGCTCCAAAAGCAGATCTTAGGAGCCTTGGGACCTCAGAGCCAAGAGCGTTCTGTTTGGCCACCTCTTGACCCAGAAGATCTCTCCATCTTTATCCACATTTCTGGACTTAGCCCTTTACAATTCAGACATTGCTTTCTTGGTGGCTCAAAACAAAACAAAACAAAACAAAACAAAACAAAAACAAAAACCCCCCAAAACAAACAAACAAACAAACAAAAACCCACGTTATTTCTCATTCTCTTCTTTCACATAGAGAGGATGCAGGCCAGTCAGCCAAGGTGGTTGGGGTCAGACACCATGCGAGGGACCCTGCTCTCAGAAACATCCAGAGCTACGTGTGGTGAGCCTTGCTGTAAATCCCAGCACTTAGGGGGGCTGAGGCAGAAAGATTGTGAGTTCAAGGTGAGCCTGTACTACATAGCAAGACCCTGCTTCAGGAGAGAAAAATAAAACACAATAATGTCGTAGTCACTGTTCTATTGCTATGATGAGACGTCATGACCCAGGTAACTTCCAAAAGGAAGCATTTCACTGGGGGCTTATAGTTTCTGAGAGTTAATCCATGACCATCATGGCAGGGAGCGTGGCGGCAGGCAAGCATGGCATGGTGCTGGGGCAGCAGCTGAGAGCTACATCTGATCCACAGGCAGCAGGCCGAGAGCAAGACTGGGCCTGGGGTGGGCTTTGGAAAGCCCTAGTGACACTTCCTCTAACAAGGCCACACCTCCTAATCCTTCCTAAACAGTTCACCAACTGGGAAGCAAACATTCACATATATGAGCTTATGGGGGCCATTCTCATTCGGACCACAGCAGTAATCCAGCCCAGGGCAGGCTTGGATGGCCATCTGCTGTGAATTTTCTCCTCTCCAGCAGCACTCTGACAAAAGCTCTTTGAGTCAGTTTGCAGCCCCCTTCATTTCTTCTGTCTTTCATTTATAGAAGCTTCCCTGAGGGTCCGACGCCCTGCCCACCTCCTCTTCCTGCCCCCATGCATCTTCTCTACCTCTGACACACCTGACTGAGAACCGACAGTGCAGTCACTGACCCCCATGTAGTCTGAGCACCCCTAACTTCCAAACTCGAAACGCTTCATAAATCTACAACTTCCCCATTGCTGTTGATGTGATCCACAGGTGGAAAATTCCACCCT